TACTACAGGTGAGACAGAATGGATTCCCCAGCCGGACCTCATGGATGACACCTACTGGTCCGGGTCAGCGCCGCTGTGTTTAGGAGGGTGTAAGGCCCGTCACCAGGAGCTCAGGAAAGACCCTTGTGGCGACTCCAGCTGCTGCTGGCTCGGCTACAAGTCTCTCTGCAGAGGTCAGTCAGTGTCGACTCTTTCATTCTCCATAAAAAAATAAATAAATAAATAAATCATGGCATACTGTCTTCATTTTGGTTCTCTTCACGTGTCAGTGAACTGCGGCAGGCCTGATGCGGACTATAACGGAGTGGTTTACGGCAACGACTGGTGGGTGGGCTCTGTGGTGAGGTACGCCTGTCGCTCTGGCTTCATCCTGCTGGGAACCCCCACCAGGTCATGCCAGTCCAATGGCCTCTGGACCCCGAAACCCGTCTGCCTCAGTGAGTAAACGATAAAATACGGTGGCGTAAATCAGAAAAGTCTTCAACCAAACAGTCCTGCTGAGATCCCGTCCGCCTGCTAGGGATGTGTCAGCGCGGGAGCATTGAAGTCAGGGAGAGCGAACTGAACGGCACCTGTGACTCCACCTGTGAGAATAAGAGCTACTTCGGCCCTCCCAAACTGGGCTGCTCGCTGATGAACAACTGTAAGAAGAAGGAGACGGGCTGGAAGCGGTTCTTCACGCAGTGCGTCCCGTGTATTTGTGACTGCTCCTTATCATGTGGTGAGGAACGCTTGATACAGTCAGTCTGTTTTCTCTGCACAATTAGATCTGAATGTGCTGCATTATTTCTTTGATAAACGTTCATGCTCTTTTTTTTTTTTGGTATGTGTATTTTTAGCAACTGCAGGCTAATTCTGACGTCAGACAACGAAGTGAAAGTCTTCATCCAGTTCCACGGACACGTCGGTAAAATAAGAAAATATGAACAGATGTTTTCAGCATTTTTCCTTTACTTTCTTAGAATTAGGTTGATACCAGAGGATTTGCTTGTGTACTCCGCTGCTCCGCCTCTCAGTCCATCTGTCCTGCAAGGAGCTAAAACACTAATCTTGTTACAAAAGGCAGATCTGCAGTCAGATGTCTGTTGTAAACCTTGTTTAAAAAATGGTATTCATAGTTACTACAATGTTGTGTGCTTTTTAATAATTCACTGTGAAAAACATTTTTGGAATTATATTTGTAAAGTATATTTATTTGCATCAGTTAAATCATTTGTGTGGAAAGTTTATTGCCATTTTCCTTTTGCTGATGACACTTTCATAAATTCATTCTAGATAAAATTCTGCAAATTTGTTTAATATTTTCTCATATCTTTATATTTTCCTGCACACAATTTGGATATTTTCCTTTAAAGAATGACTTTTCTGCTAGACACCACTAGGTGTTGCAGTTGCTTTTGTTATCTCACATTGCACAAAGAGAAATGGAAGCAATATTTTAATCTAGACCCAATCATGATGGCTAGTGGATGATAGATTGCTTCTTCTCCGCTGCATGTGATCCAGATGAGTTACGGCAAATCACTCCTCTGTGGTGGATTTCCAGGTTCTGAACTTCAGGACGATATGCTCGTCTGCTTTAGGAGTGTAGCAGCCGATTCCTGTGAAAGCAGACAGAAGATGAGGATGTTATCTGTTTGTTTCCAGACACATTTTTTTTCTTTCTACAACAGCACAGGAGAAGTTTTTTATTTCAACAACATGTATAATTTCACTGAAACAGCTTAGGAAAACTGCTTTTCCCAACAGTTTTGGATTATTTCTCTGCACAGCACAATTAACAATAAGTAAAAGAACAAGCTATCCTCCTGATTCATTAAAGCTCATTAGATCCCCCTCGGATCTGTTTTTGCTGAGTCTCCAGGGAGGAAACTCACCCACATCCAGTCTGGTGTACTCTCCAGAGTTTTCAGTCAGGATCTCCCAGTAGGTCTGCTCGTTTTCATCTCCAGCCACTCCGTTCACGCTCTCTAGAAACAAGCCAAAGTTTGGATCCACCTTCACCGTGAACCTGCCGACACAGGAAGGCGAGGGCCGGTTATTACAAGCAGAAATGGGTCACGGCTTTAAATAAATGCCGGGTTTCCGAGATGAAAAGACGACTTGGTGGTAGGAGGATTTCATCTGGGGTCTTACTTGAAGTCCGGCTGAGTCTCCTGGAGTCTCGTCAGAGCTCCGAACAGAACACCCCCTTCCACCACGGAGCTGGAAAACGACTCGGGAGCCATGTTGGAGAGGTCATTCTCCACAGTCAGCCTGATCGGAAGGGAGGTCAAACCTGCACAGGAATTGACACTGATGCATAGCATATCTCATACCTCTATGGGCTAAATACATTCTCACCAGCGTACCTTGGTTTGCGATCGCTTCATGTGGCAGCAGCAGGAGGAGAAAGCTCACTGAGAGCAGAGCAGCAGGTCTTGGAGCCATCCTGTGTGATGTTTCTCCTCCAGGCTTCACATCAGTATTTATAGAAGACCAAGCCCTCATTTATTGTCAGATAAAATTTCACAACAACCTTCCTCCCACTGCCACTTTACAAAGCCATCTTTTGTTCTAATTTTAAATGCCCGCATGAGAGATCATGAAAAGAAAACCAGCACCTGTGCTGTTATCTCACATAGCTGTCAGTCACTGATAATGTTAATATTAAAAGAGTAATTGTTAATGATTAGATTAACAATCAGCCATGAGATTGATTTCTTTTGTCATCCAGTTCCAAGAATAACAACAAAGGTTTCAGATAATCTATTTAAACACTTTACCTCGTTCTTTGATAAAGGTAATAAACACCATCTTGTTCTCCTCGAGAGGTTAATAGAAATGTTTCTGTGTGCAAGCAAGGAATTTCTTATTAAAAAAAGTTTGTATCCCAGTCAACCTATTTATGGAGCTTTAAAACAAAAACACCACTTTACTCTTTTCCTTTTACATAAAGGCTGAAGAAGAGAAAACTCGCCATTAGTGGGATGTGTTCCAGTCTACAGTGACTTGCACTTTCAATTGTTTCACCTTTTGTTTGTAACGTAAACAAAGCATTGCATAAATGTAAAGTGAAGTTAATAATTAGACATGGTATTTAATTCCTTTTTTTTTTTTTTAAATAAAAATCTAAAAGATTTACCTCCCTTTGCTCTGATACCGCGCAGTAAAAGAGAGCAGATTAAAATTTGCCGACCTGCATGAAAGGTCACCAAACAGACAATGTGCATCAGTCACTTTCTATCACCAAAGTGACACATATTGGTGGCAGCATCGTTATTTTTGGTAGTCACATCAAAACTGGTCAGAGTTGATGTGGGGATGTTGTGAAAGACTTGAGGCTGGGGTGGAGATTTGCCTTCCAGCAGGTCAACAATCCTGCATAAACAGCCAGAGGAACGATTTAGATCAGAGCACATCCATTCATTAGACTGAGCCACTTATTGATAACCCTAAAACCCTCATAGAATCTGTGGTAAGGCTTAAAAACTGACTAACCCTTTATCTAATCTTACTGATTTGGGGTTATTTTTGAAAATAAGAATGTGCAAAACCTTCCTGGATGGGTAAAGTTGGTAGAGACATGCCCCCAGAAGACTTGTAGCTGTAAACGCAGTATAAGGTGGGGTTGAATACAAATGAATGCCCAGATTTATATAATTTTATTTGTAAAAAAAAAAAAAAAAAGGAAAATAATGTTCCAGATTGCTGCAAAGTCTTTCCACCAGATCTGCTTCCATCCATTATAGATAACTTTTTATCAATTTGCATTAATAAGAACTGAATTTGCCTGGACTGCTTGATAGAATCAAATACTAATATATGCAGCTTAATGTTATTTTGTTGTATGATTGCATTTCTCTTGAAAAGTGACCTGAGGTGACATTTGTTTTCAATTGCCGCTATAAATAACCTGAATTGAATTTGTTTAAGACATAAAATCCCAGTAAAGTAACGTTTGTGTAAATGAGGCAAAAATGTAAAAAAAAAAAAAAAAAAAAAAAAAAAAAGTAAGGATACCTTTGTGAGTGGTTGTGTAAGAAGAATCTTTGATAATAGCAGCTTTAAAGAGAGCGAGATGGGTTGGAGGACTCAAAGTGTTCACGAAGCGACCTGGGAGCTCGTTTTTAAATTAGTCTGATTAAGAAGCAGGTGCGATTGGCTAAAAATGGGCTCGATTTCCTCTCAGGGGTGATGTAAGGCGTGTAGGGCCCGCTTGAACGCGAGTAACCCCGGCTATTTTACCGAAAATAACCCGGGCACTGCAGCATCAGCACCAGGCAGCTGCGCAGGTGCGGCCTTTAAAGAGACAGACCAAAACCTCCCTCATGTTTACTCCGGCTGTCAGCATGTAGCGAACCGTAATCCATCAAAACTGACTCATCTGTGTGGATACATTTGAACATTATGTACAAAAATAAACAAATTGACTTTATTTTTCATTTAAACGTTCCTTTTGAACTTAAAGCAATCCCAGGAATTATAATCCAATTTTTTTTTTATCAACAACTTTTATGCAGTAAGATTTGATTGTGATGGAATCTCTATTTACAAATAGGACTCTTAAAAAAAAGGAAAAGAAAAGAAAATAAAGAAGTACAAAAAAATGCTATTTTTTTTATTATTTATTTTTTTAAATGATCTACTTCAGTCAAGTTAGGATTGCGACTGGGACTCAGTAGAACCAAAACACAATTTCCTCTTTCAGCATCTTCCCCAGCAACGCCCTGTATCCATCCCTACACCCAGCGTGCGCGCCCCGCAGACGCACCAACCGGTTAAAGAGGAAAGCGGCGGCTGCTCCGTCAGGCTGCAGCTGATGATGCTGCTGAGGCATTTGCAGCAGCGGCGTCTGCCTGGTCCGGTGCTTTCGCTTTGATCTCCGGTGCCAGCTGGGGGGTGGGATAATGGAGACTGTCGTGCACGTCGAAGCCGAGGACGCTCGTGGACGCAGTTCCTGAGTGGAGTATTTCCTTTCCGAGGGGGAAAACATAACATGCACCCCGCTCCCGCGACGAGTCTCCGGGATGCAGTCGTAGTTTGAGGCCGGGCCGGACATGATTTTAATCTCAGGGGCTGCTGCTGTAGAGGATGCGGGATGATGAGCGCCGCACCCCGAGAGATGCTGATAAGGATAATACAGCTCGGTCCTTTATTTCCCCAGAGCGAAGCCGGATTTTAGCTGGACTGTGGTGCACTCTGTGAACATCCTGTTTGTTGTGGTTGTTTTTATTTTATTTATTTATTTTCATTATTATTCCTGTCCGGGACTGCGCTGGAGATCTGATGCTGGAGGATTGGGCTGTTTTGTCTGAAGAGATCAACTGAACGCTGTTGCTCTCACAGAACCAGGACTGAGCTCCTCACCTGGTCCTTTCAACACACAATAATAAGTATGTTACATGTTTGCATGTGAGAGTGTGCGTGAATGGGCACTGCGATGCCAACTGTTAAAGCTGCTTCAAAGATATATTTACAAATCAGGCAAATATCTCATTAACCCCCCGAAAATCCTTGTTGTTTAGTCAGTTTCTGTCTCTTGTGCTTGGTGCAAGTTAACAGGTGCTTGCCACATTAAAAGTCATAGCAGATAACTGGACCACCTCTCCACTGCAAAGCTGCATGGATTCATGTGATTGCCATATTCCCCCCATGGTTTTAGAGGTGACTTTTGCCATGGCCCCGTGCTGTTCACATGTCCTGCCGTTTGGAGCTGAACATGGAGTTCTCTCCCCGACTGAAAGGCCATTAAAGTCAGTTGGGCATGGATTATAACCGGGCCGATAATGGGAATTCGCTAATGGCAGCATGATCAATAGAAAGTCACGGTCAATTTTCATCACCAGTTATTCTCATGTAAGTTATTCCATCATGCTAAAATAGGCTGAAGTGGGTCATAGTAGCGGGAGAATACTACAAGGACATTATGTGATAGTGCATGTGTCCACAGAAAGTGTGTGCGTTAACTCATCAAAGTACAACAGGATGACCATGTAGGCGATTGGATTGTTTCTTTGTATTTATGCTGCAGTCATTGCAAAAAGAAAACACACTCTCTGTAGTTCCTCTACTAGTTTCTAAAGTTACTTAAATCTAATCTAAGTGCCTCAAACCACAATATCGCTGTTATTTAGATTAAGACACCCCAAAAATGTAAGGGTGTGCTTTCATTTTGCCATAATCATAAGTGCTTATTTACAATGTTTATTTAACATGTTCAACATGTAGTTTTCAAACAGCTTTCAGCATTCATTGTAATTAATACAACACCACCACTAGATAATATGGAATTTCTACTGCATGATTTCACAAGAGACAAAGGGTTTTTTTAAGCACAAGGGGGAAAATCCCCTGCTAATTCTGCTTTCTGTGCATTTGGCTTGGTGGCATGACATCGCAAGAGACGCAACAGCTGAGCTGATCAGCAATAAACTGTTTGGTACAAACAACTTTTACTAAGTTTTGACATACATTCGCATCATTCGACTTGTGTTTGAGCAGAAAGGGGAGCCAGAGTTTGGTCCTGATGCCCCCATCCAAGCATTGATGGATGGATGAGGAATCTGAAGCATACATACATTTAACTGGATAAAATAATTTTATTCTTGCTTGAGTTTTTCATCTGAATAGTTTCTGTTCATGGTGCAAAGATGGTGTGGGTTGTTCTGCAGATGCACTTATTGTGGGACTAACTAGCATTGGGCTCTTTATAAGTCTCTGTGCCCAGCATTTTTTTTTTTTGAGTTTTGTCGATCCCAGGAAGAGAAGCCATTGTTTTGACAATGGCGAGCGAGATTTCAAATAAATAAACAAAAAAAGTGGAAGTAGGACAGGAACCGACATTCTTGTCCCACAAATGTAAAATTCAGGTAGCAAGTGATGAAGCATTTCCACAGGAAACTAATATTGGGACATGAAGATTATCTTAATGGAACATATCGATCAGATATGGTTTCTATAACTTGTGAATGATCCCTGAGGATCTACGACAATGATTTGTTGCCATTACAGTCTGGCCTATAATGGCAAGACTGTACAATTACATCAGTGCTTATGAAGCACTGATGGCATAAACACATGTCGTCAGTGCTTCCATGTGTTTATTGTCGGCAATTATTTTCTGAAATTGCAGCAGTTTTCCCAAAGCCTCTGCTTAAAGATAAGGACTCTTCTAATGATAAGGACAAGTTTTGTCTGAAACATAAATACAATTCAAATGTTTTGCTGCAGTTTTAACGGACAAGTAAAACCTTTGAAGGATTAAAAACATAAATAAAGAGAAACAGGAAAACATGAAAAATACACATGCACATACGCCAATTAACTATGATTATTTACCTGATACCTTATGTGATGTCATCAGCGGAGCTTTTAAAGGGGTTGGTAAGATCTTAATTAAATTAGGATTTACAACAAAAATACCAAAACAAATAGAAAATCATTGTAAAAGCATTTTCTGTAGGTCACAAGTTATATCTCAAGTGATTTTACAAAAAAGTCTGGAAAGACACTTTAAAGTATATTGGACTATTTCTGTGGTATTTGGTCAGAAACAAGTTGTTCGTTCTGCTATACAAATTTATTTTGTTTGTTTTTATTTAATTAACAAGCACTTTCACCTCTAAATGGATACTAAGCTTGGTTTAGTTAGAGAACATTTCCACTTCTTATTTTTGTTAAAATCATCTAATCAAGCTAAGAATTTCCAGCCTGTCTCCAGGAGTGTGGGGCTCATTAGAAGTGTTAGCTGTAGCCTGTGTTTTAAGTCACAAAAAACTGCCATGTAGACTCATTATGAAGCATTTTAATGTATGTAATTGTGTCCACAATTTGATCAGATTATGCGCAGTTTTTACAGGGCAGGCTTTTTTTTTTTTCCCAGTTTAACAACTATAAATATTTTTCCAACTGCAATTCAGATTTGTTCACTAACATAGAGCAGCTTTCAAAATGCTTCTGGAGGTTTAAACACTGTGTCCTCTCTTAGTGAGACATTGTTTTTTTACATTTTCTTTTAAAGAGTTGAAAAGCTTATGGATTCTTAAGTATTACATGCCTCACGTTTCAGTCAGGCAGTCTTGTCTGGGAGGACATTTATGTGAATCAGCAGTACCGGACTGTAAGTGTGCTGCAGGACTGAAACCAGATCCTCACACTCACAATCTCATTGGCTTTACGCAGCTGCTCCACAGACTAAATGGTTGTCAGATCATGCTTAGCACCTTGCTTGGGTGCATCACACTGAATACACTCACTTACAAATATGCATTCACATTAAAACTATAAACTTCTGTTTAATTAGGATTGTCACTGTCGATCGCAAATGAAATTGAAACAAAGTGTTATATGCTTATATAAAACCTCTCTCTCTTAATTCATAATATGTAGAACTACTTTTGTTGCAGTTACAGCTTTTTGAGTTATGGCTAAACTCAAACCAGCTGGATTGGGAGTGAACAGCATTTTTTAAAAGTATTGCTACAGATTCCTAATTAAAATGTAACTCTAGGATTTGACTGAGCCACTCTCCAGCTGTATTGTTAGGGTTGGTGTCTGAGTGCAGCGCCTACTGCTGCTCCACCCTCTGTTCTTTTCTATCAGGTTTCTCTCCAGCCTTGTTCTTCGTTGTTCCAGCTGTCTGCTGTGTTTCACAATGTTGTTTGTTTATTAATGTTCTCTGACAAACCTCTAAGGCTTTCAAAGAACAACTGGAAATGATTACGCAAAGTTGGACTCACTAATTAGTTAGTAGGATTAGTTGATTTGTGGATTTACTAATCAGGGATGTGGATTAGATATGCAGACCACATCTTTAACATTTTTACTTTGAAAACAGTCTATCATGCCACTTCACAATTACACCGTTTTGTTGGTCTTCATAAAATACCAACAAATTGTGTTAAAGTTTGTGACAAAGTGTAATAAATCTCAACTTAATCGCGAGATGTCTAGAAAATACATCACATTATTAAAATAACATCCATAAAGCTCTCGGACAATTATCAAGTGGAAGTTTATTGCATTTTACTCCATGTACTAAGGTCAAGTACCTCATGCTTTCAACATTTACACTTTCAGTGATTAAATGGGTGCCCTTTGTAACGTCACACATTAAAAAATTACAGCAATATTTTTGTTTATTGAGCCTGTCATTGAGAAACAAAATGTGGATGTTCAATTTTCAAAGTCATATTTTCTCCATGATATTCATGCATCTATAAATGTCAGAAATATTTAATTTACCATCTAAATATTTAATTTACCATCTAAATATTCAGTTCCAAATTAAATGTTTATTTTGCTTGCTAAATATTTATTTGCGGACGAGCAGCTATATAGCGGAAGTGGGATATCAAAGTAAAAGCTGGGTTTTGCGGACCTCTATAAACTCAGTTGCTGGCGGGTCTGAATGGTCGCTCAGGTTGTTGTTTTTTTTCCTTAACCATCCTTTCTCATTTCCTACGTGTTAATTGAAAACGTATGCCGTTTTAGCGGCTCTAAAGTTTTTACTCATGCCTTTGCAGAGCTAGTTTCTGTATTGCTGGATTTCAATCACGTGACTCGGATGACGCGCGAAATTCAGATGGAGGGCTAGAAGGGGATTTCTCCGGTTCAAAGCAAAGCAAAGTTGATCACGAATATGCTAATGCCCTAAGTAGGCTGGAACAGCCGAGGTATCTCGAAAAAATATGCATATATTTAGGATATGATCCGTATTATCTTGGTAAAAAAAAAAAAGGGAAAAAAAAGACTTATAATCTTGAGGATTTACGCGGTGCCGAGGCCATGCACATAACTAATTACCCTGAAGACTTCATATTATATGATGAGCCAGAAGAAAGCTTTCAAAAGCCTGGAGAATACAATCATTTAGTTTCAAGTTGGGTCAAGCATTTAGGATTAAAAGCAGCATTAGATGGCAGTCGACTTGTTTCTGCCGGATGAGTAGTGAATTGTGCTAAGTAATTTTTTGTCTATGATAAGGATGCTATCACTACCCATGTTATTTTATGAGTTTGGCTCTCCTGGTAAATCGACAGAAATAAATGGGCTGAATTTACTTCTGGCCCTCCATGTGCATTGGGTGAAGTCGGTGCTACGTCATCTGAAACCCAGCAATATTTACCTAGGATCTAAATATTTTCGACCTAAATATTTCTCTGACGAGCTAAATATTTAAATAGAAAACTGTATTTAATTAGTAAAATAAATGTATTTTAAAGCTAAATAAGGGTGCACTGATTGTAAATTACCGATCTTTAAGTAGTCTGTTTGCCAATTCCGATTTTTGTTGATACGATTTATTTTTTATTTTTTAGATGTTGCTAAATACAGCAAGAAAGTTGCTGATTTTGCAACATTGGGGTGACTACTAACTGCAAACATCCGGACATGACCTGATGGGTGGGTTTGTCAGTCAAAGCTCTCACATGGCAGAGCAAACAGAGGACAATGGTTGTTTTTGTTTGTTTTTTTTTTTGTTTGCCAAGGTAGATAAGATTGGTGAATAAGATCGGCTTCACAAGTAATTATCGGCTGATCACCGATCTCCCAAAATTAAGGAAATCGAGGCCAATTTATCGGCTGGCCGATGTATCCGTGCACCTCTGGTTTGTAAACTTAATATTTATATGGTGAATTCAATATTTAGTTTGGAACTCTGACACTTACAAATGACTGAAAAATGATTATGCACATTTTTGTTCTCTATGACAGGCTACATGAACCAAAATATTGCTGTTGATTTTTTTATTGTATAACTTTACAAACGGTGCCACCTACTTCCTTCCCTGCAGCCTATCAGGATGGCTGAGAAAACACTGGAACCTGGCTCGGTCAGCATTCCAATGGAGGAGACCAAGCTGCCCGGAGGGGCCCCGCAGGAGGCGCCGCTGCTCACCCACCTGAAGAAAGTGGAGAACCACATCACAGAGGCGCAGCGTTTCTGCCACCTCCCGCGGCGCTCCGCTGTAGACCTGGAGTTCAACGAGCTGTCCTACACCATCCGGGAGGGCCCCTGGTGGAGGAGAAGAGGTACTGCAGGCACGGCTCACAGAAAATGATAGATGAGCAAGCGAACACCACCCATGACGATCAATATCTGCAGTGCAGAAATCTCAGTGCATTTAAAAGCTTTTGTGACATTTCAGGGGGAAAAAAATTCCCCAGTGTTTGTTCTTGCCTCTTTTTATTGTTCTGGCACATACACCCTATCCCTGATACTTACTGACTTACAGACTTCCACCATGCAAGAGCAGCCGGAACTCCTGCCTGCAAGCTTTGCTGCACTCAGCAGAGTTTAGACATAGTAAATAATTTACCCCCAGGTTGCCACACTGCTTGCATCCTTTTTCCTCTGTTGTCTTCCAGGGGGCGGTGGCTGGGAGTCCAGCACATAATTGATATACTATGATCATATGAACTGCATGTGAACTCACCACCCTCGGAAATGATTAAGCTTTGGCTTCTTATCTGCAGATCAAACAACCTACCCTCTTCAAACACTTAGACCTGGCTGCCTTAGTTGTGTGGATTTAGCAGGGTGTGTTTACATTCTCCACATGGGGTGAGGCGTTTGCAGGCTTGGTTATTTTTAGTCTTGTCTAATATGGATGTGCATTATGAAAGTCTGGCAGCGAAGTGTTTGCTGTTCTGTTGTGTAACCTGGACGTATGGAACATTATAATGAGGGAAAAGATCAGAGAGGAGTTCTGGAGCACTGATGCACGTGTTGCTGTCCGTCTTCATTGCATCAAATATTTCTCTGTGATGTTTACAGTCTTTTGGAAACGTCTCTTTGGATTTTTATCAAAATTCATCCAGTTGCTGATAATTGACTAGGATGTCTTTTCTTTTACTTTTCATCTTTTTTTTTATTAATCAGTGAAACACTTCATAGAATGTTTTTTTTTTTTAAACTAATATCACTAAGCCTCAGTTCTGATTGTAAACCAAACAAAAATCTCTGTGCCTTTCTGGTTTTCTTTTCCAGCTAAATTATTTGACACAAGCTGAAGTCGGTAAATTACTTAATTTTTAGCAGGAATTCTGCCTGATTGAAAGCCCTGCACAAGGAGTAAAATACCATTCGAGCTGATTGTTCTTTTGAATTCTGACAGCCACTAAAAGTCAAAGTACTTACTCATTTCCCTTCACACACACCTGGTTTTAATCAGTAAATACATCCGAAAGTGTACGTTGACACACGATTAAAGCAGTATTATAAATCCACCTGATGAGTTTCTGTTGACTTGGACCTTTTTTGAAAACATTTAAAAAGCCATAAAATAAATTCATTTAAAGAAATTCTGTAGAATACCCTCCTCCTGAAAGATTCTTAGGAAAAAAAGCCCTTTTGATTTTAGGATTTTTCTCTATGGGAGAAAAAACTCTACATGAAAAAAATAATTGACTTTCCAAAAAAAAAAAAAAATGTTTGTGTTGCGTTTATTTATTAGTGACCCTACAAATATATTTAAAATAAGATATGGCTAAAGCAGTTATTAAAATGTATGCGTACTTTGTTTTTTCCAAGCTGCTGAGGGTTTTTTAGAAATGTCTAAGTAGCAATATGTGCTTTTCTGTTCTCTTTGGGAGTAAATCTGACAGGACACAGAAAGCCATTTCTTTTAGACACTGAGCTTTGTTGACTTCAGCACCAAGGACAGCACCAACGTTTTATCTTTACTCTGTACAAATCTACTCCAGTAAAGAGTCACAGTAAAAGATTGATTATTTGTTGGTAACTTCAGAGCTTAAGGTAAAATTCTTTGCTTAAAGCTGTAATTATGTGCATTCCGACATGAATTAATACTAATATTCTATTCCACCTGTTTACTTTACAGCTATTAGTTTGTCTGTGAGTAAATAAAACACTCTTCCTTTCTAAATGTGTTGAATCAGACAGTGGCTATGCATCAGGCAGAAAGAGAGGAGAGAAATAAGATTTGCATGAATCATGATCCCAGAACTCGTGATGTCATCTATCCTTAGAAGCGACTTAGCTTTTGAGTCGATGTCTCTCTGCTCATGAGTCACTTCTCCAAAGGTTTGTGATAAGCAGGAAATTACCAAAACAGGTTTTTGTTAAATTTAGAGCCGTCTCTTTTCCTGGAGGAGGTCTCAGCCGGAGTGAGTCCCTGATGAGCTGCCCTCCAAATGCATTTTCTATTGCAGGCTCTTGTTTTGTGATGCTGGCCATCCCTGGCTGTTTTGGATGAAACTGCTGTGACCTATTTTCATGTTCAGTGGCATTCTCATCCCGAGGGAGATGTCTGGAGAAACTCAAGCCGGGCTTTGAACGGGGGAATGACAGCAGAGAGGGGAGAGAGAGAGAGAAAGAGAGAAGGAAATGTTTACATTTCTGCTTCAGATTTAGTGAGCTGCTGCTCTGCACCTGCGCTCATCATCTCTGTTTTTCCAGAGGGAAAGCAAAGCTGGCTGAAATAAAAATACGGCCTCAATATGTCTGTCACGATAACAAATTTTGCTGGACGATATATTGTCCTAGAACTTATTGTGATAAAAAATAACATTGTTTTGTGAACATTTCCAAGTAATATAATAGTAATAATGGCATAAAAATACAAGAACACATTCTCAAAGTGTAATAAATTTTAAATTCTAATGAACATTTAAAAACTGGAAGACATTTGGAATATCTACGATAAATAAAAAAAAAACAACAAATAAAATAAATTATGAAGCCTCTTTAAACAAAATTATCATTAAGTAAAAGGGTAAGTTGAGACCAAAACACCAGACTGAAGACTTTTATCATTCATTTTTTGGTAGAAAGAAGACAATAAATCAAGGAAATGAAAATTACTGCGTTTTTTTTAATTTGTCATGCGATTAATTGATTTATTGTTTATTGTGAATTAATATATCTGTTTGATTATTGTATCCAGTTTCTTGAGAATTATCGTGGAAATTCTCAAGAAATCAACAAATCCCTAAACTTTTTTGTAGTTGGGAGTTTATTGGAAATGTTTCTCAACATTTCCAATAATGTTGAGAAACATTATTGGAAACATTATTACTTAATTACAAGTAATTAAGAGGCAGCTCTTAATTACTTGTAATTAAGAGTTGCCTCGGCCTTAATTGTTGTCAGATTATAATCCATAATCTATACAGTGAGTAATAAAAAGTCGCATTTACTGTCATAAATAAGCGCAAATATTGCAAATATTTCCTAATTATTACCACATATACAAAATCCTGGAGGGACCGAAAAGAAGTTCAGTAATACTATTTAATTTTAAGAATTCATTGATATTTTTACAGTTTTTGAACAGATTTTATCAATACATTCTGGCACAACCGGCCCTTTAAGAGCATTCATGAGCTTGATTGGGCCCAAAACAACATGAGTTTGATACAATCCAATTACATACACTGAGATTTATCATTTCGATGGGAAAAGTTGGTTTACTTATTATTAGCTCCACTCTCTATTCAAAACCTGCCCAGTCTGGATTACCTGTATCATTCGGGGCTCTGCTCCTGTTGCGACACAGTGGCCGATAATTTGAATAATTTGTCTAGCAATTACAGCGGGATGTGTCAGAAGTTCAGGCTGTAATCTCAGAGTAAACACCGTCAGATGTGGTTAGAATTGAGCTCGGTCGTGATGTCAGGGGACGACGTACGCTCTGGCTCTCTGAGACAAAGGGACGAGCTCTCAGACTCACGCCATGTTCGCCCAACAGCGGTGGGTTAGATCATCAGTATGCAGCTCATGGCAGGGCATGGTTGCTTCACTGACAGCATGCAGCTCCTGGCTGAGAGGAGAGAGCTCTTTGATGTAGTAACTAAGTGACAGTGGAGGGGGCGCCACTTCTTGGCAGCTGGTTTAAGGGACTATGTCGCTTTGCTGAGATCGCCCAATTACCCAGTTGAAGGCAAGAAGAAGGGTCTGTGCAGACCCAGGAGAGACGCTCAGGAGACAGGAGACATGGGTGACAGCTCTCAGAAACTGTGTCAGCTCTAAATTGGATTGTGCAGTTGCTCCCACTGCACTTCAGGAACCACAACCCTGGTACGAGCACATCACAGAAACCCAAGGTAACCTTACTTGGAGGCAAAGTCTTTCGGTTGCTGGATAATAAGATGAACTTAGCAAAATATCTGTTGTGTTATTTTAATTTTTATCCCAAAATGCTTTCATTTTACCCTGATAAGTTTTCCATAATGCTGGTGGAAGACTTGGTTTAAATTTTCTCTGTTCCTCCGCCTCACTGTACAGCTTCTTATCTGTCTAGGACCTGGTGACCTCTCCCAAATTACAATCTCAGTATCTGCATAATCATCTGTTAAAACACTTTAGAAATCAATGAACCAAGTTTCGCAGTAGAGCGCAGTTCACTGAGCTTTAACTACTGAAACAAGATACACAATTTGACCAGCTGCTCCAGGAGACTCACTCTCGTGCTCACCCTGATCTGTCTTCCAGAAAATTATGTTCTGGCATTGATAACACCGCTTTATAATATGCTGTAGTCATTCTGTGACATAATCGTTACAGCTCAGGCCGTGAGCAGTCAGTTCTCCGTCTCCCCATTTTTTTTTTGATTCTCCAGCTTTGTCCTTTTAATAAATTGCGTACTCAAAATCAACCAAACTGGTCCCGACCTTCCTGATTTTGATAGTCGGGTCCAATGACTAAAGAATCTGAATTTTGGTCTTTACTGTTTTTATAGTTTCTAAACTTTATATAACTTCCCTACAGTATCTGACTTCAAAGAGGATGCTAAAAATATACTAAGTAGACACATTTATTTAATATATGTGTTTAATACGTGACATAGCTTTCATATTGGCCTGTTTATATTTAGAACAAGAGACATTTGAATGTTAAAGTAGATAGAAATGCAGTGATCAAGCTTTCCCAGACTGATATCTTTTCCAGTTTTCCTAAAGTCTGCTTTTATAAAGAAAACTGCCTGGACACAACAAGGCAACTGGCTTTTTAATTTGGGATTTGCAAGACAGAACACCTGAAAATTTATTTTATTTTTTGAAGAGAAGAAATGTGCCACATGTTTTTAATATAAGTCGCAGCTTTGAATGGAACAGAACATTAATTCATCAAAGCATGATGAATTAATGTCATCATGCGTAAAAGGTGTTTCAGAGTATGTTTTGTTGGTTGATGCGTCTGCAGCTTGAAAGGAGTTAAAGTTTTAGCTCTGATGCATTTAAAGACCATGGAAAAATTTTAGATTTTTCTGTATTTGACCTGGAGATCCTCCAATTAAAACTGCTAAAGCAAAACTAAACAAATTACATTGTTTTGTCAACTGGCTGAAGAATCTCGAGTGCACACAATAAACCAACAACATGAGTACAGTCAGGGTAGGTTTAACGTTTGAATTTGACAAAATGTGAAAATGTTCAAGGGGTTTGAACACATTTGTAAGGCTCTGTTTGTCTAGCTTCTTCACCAGGGTTTCTCCCAGAAAACTTTCTAAGCCTGGTGGTTGGGCTCTAGGGCAGTCATTCCTCTAGCGGCCTGTCATGTTTTTGAATTGAAAAATGTTTAAAGTTGACAGGAAATTTGAAAATATCACTTGATAAATATGTGTTATTGAAATATTAACGCCTGGACACCAAGTATAAAGTCTTAAAAATGCAAAAATTTTTAAAAGACTTAAACAAATAAGCAATGCTTAGCCTGGTGGGGGCACAAGTAAACCCTGGTGGCCCGCCAGGCTTATCATACACTGAGGGAAACCCTGCATACACCACATGTTCATGTTTGACGTGGTTCTGCTTTACATTTAAAATAAAATGTCTACTAAAATCCACAACACAGGGTTCATGTTTAATGTTTTACACATTCACTTAAACTTTATTGAAGTTTTTAAGAAACTGCAAGCGGAAGAAATGTAATCTTACATTGTTGCAGGACAACAGTTAGAATATCCCAAAACATTAGCATCAGTGTCAATGACTGACAGCAGTAGGAGACAAATAATCTGCCCAGAAAGCTCCCCTCCTCCCAGCTGAAGCCCTGATTAGGATAAAGCTTGTATAGAAAATGAATGAATGATTAACTGACTAATGGTTCATTCTCTCCATTAGGCTACAAAGCTCTCCTCAAGTGTCTGTCGGGAAGATTCTGCAGCAGAGAACTGATTGGTATCATGGGACCCTCTGGGGCTGGGAAATCCACTTTGATGAATATTCTGGCGGGTTACAGGTGAGCTTTTAACCTGCACGAGAATTACACAGATCCATAAAAAGAATATGTTGCTGTATGTTTACGGAAGACTGATTTTGGGTGGCTTTGGTTACATTTACGTGAGCAGATTCATAGTGGACTTCCAACATGGCTTCATGTTTGAAAAACAGGGAAACTGGCATGAAGGGGACCATCCTGGTGAACGGTCGGCCGAGGGATCTGAGGACCTTCAGGAAGATGTCCTGCTACATCATGCAGGACGACATGCTCCTGCCGAACCTCACTGCGAGGGAGGCCATGATGGTGACACTGCTGCTGGGACAAATCATGGCCAAATGTTGACATATACTTTAAAAAACAGATTTCTGATGAGGTTTCCTTTTTGTTGTTTATTTAGGTTTCTGCCCATCTGAAGCTGAATGAGTCTGTGCAGGTCAAAAAAGAACTTGTGAGTCAGATTATGTTGATTTATGAAAGAATTATATGTTAGACACAAACATTTGTTTGTTTTTTTTGCTTTGACAAATGTTCTTAATTCTATTTTAGTGAGATTAATATACTACAAGTGTCTGTATTCGCTGAATCCCAATACTGAAACTTAGTAATTTAGTAAATTACTAATTAGTAGTTGTGCTAATATATTCCAATGATTGATTAGTTAAAGAAACAAACCCAATAAACCAACATGGAGCTAATTTCTTAAAGAACTGGAATTGGACATCTGACTGCCTGGTTGAAGGTCTAGTTTATCATTTTATTAATTGTTGCTTTTTTAAAGTTTCTCGTAGGCCTGTCACAATAAACAATAAATCAATTAACTGCATGATAAATTAAAAAGAAACTCAATAATTTGCATTTGCTTGATTTATTGCTTTTCTCTTTTTTCTCACTTTTTACCAAAAACTGAATGATAAAAGTCTTCAGTCTGCTGTTTTGGTCTCAACTATCCCCTTTTTTTGAAAGATAATTTTGTTTACACAGACTTCATAATTTTATTTTATTTGTTGTTTTCTTGACTTATCGTTTATCGCAATACATTCTGAGACAATTTATCGTCCAGTAAAATTTATCGTGACAGGCCTAGTTTACTCGTTTCATGGAGCAACAAGGCCAAAGCAGCACAGTTCACACAGATTGCACATAGCTTTTAAGGTTAATAACACACTCTGGGTGATATCAGATGATTGATTGTTTCACTGTTTCTCTTTACTTGCGCTCAAGGTGGATGAGATCCTGACAGCTCTGGGTCTCCAGGAATGTGCTCAGACACGCACCCTCTCACTCTCTGGGGGTCAGTGTAAACGCCTGGCCATTGCTTTAGAACTGGTCAACAATCCACCGGTCATGTTTTTTGATGAGCCCACAAGGTAAAATCGTACTTACTGACTTTAACTCCTTTACTATTTAAGTCTAAATTCATCCTAACCGGTCTTCTGATCTCTCTGTCCCCATTTTTTTTAAATGTTTATAAATCCGTTGCAGTGGTCTGGACAGTGCGTCGTGCTTCCAGGTTGTTTCACTCATGAAGTCTCTGGCTCAGGGAGGACGGACAATCATGTGCACCATTCATCAGCCCAGTGCCAAGCTCTTTGAGATGTTTGATAAGGTAGGTTGAGTGCTTTTACTGCTGGACACGTCAGAGCCTCCATTACCTGTGGCTTGGACCAGGACACCACAGCATAATTCATTTTATACAGCCGAAGAAGCAGAGCAGTCGATGTCCCGCCCCGTCGTTTGCTATTGATCGTTTTTTTCAGAGAGGCTGCATGTTGGGAAGTTTACTGACTATGTTCCTCTGTTGTTCCATCCTCAGCTCTACATCCTTAGTCAGGGTCAGTGCATTTACAAGGGGACAGTCCCTTATCTCATCCCTTACCTGAAGAACCTGGGCCTTCACTGTCCAACATATCACAATCCTGCTGATTTCAGTAAGTGCAGCAAGTCCTCTAAACCCTGAGTGTGTGTGCGTGTGTGTGTGTGTGTGTGTGTGTGTGTGTGTTTGTTTGTAATACCTTATGGGGACCATTTTACTGACACATACGACGTTGTGGGAACCACTGCTCCCTGTGGGGACCGAAGCCTGGTCCCCACAAGGAGAAACACTGTATTTGGGTCAGGAGTTAGTTAGATTTAGGACTAAAGTGTGACTTGAGTTTTGGTTGGGGTTAGGTATGTAATGGGATAAGGTTAGGGTTAGGATAAGGGGTTTAGGCTGTAGAAATGAATGGAAAGTCCCCACAAAGATAGCCACACAAACGTGTGTGTTTGTGTGCGTGCGTGTGTGTGTGTGTGGGGGTGTGCGTGTGTGTGTGTGTGTGTGTGTGTGTGTGTGTGTGTGTGTGTGTGTGTGTGTGTGTGTGTGTGTGTGTGTGTGGAGATGTTGTCACTGATTTGTGAATGAGCGCTGCAGCTGATGGACCCTTTGGTCTGACTTCCCATCTCTACATCCAGTCATTGAGGTAGCATCGGGAGAGTATGGAGACCTGAACCCAGTGCTGTTCGAGGCGGTCCAGGGTGGACTCTGTTCAGAGGAGGGCAAGAAGAACTCCAGAGACAAAAGCGATGCTTCCTGTCCTTCTCAATGTTACAGTGTAAGTAAGAGAGTATACTGGTCGTTTCAAATCCTTCACTATTTCATAATTTCATGGTTTTTCAGTTGTAATTGCTTTATGGTTGATTATATTGGTACCAAACCAGTTGTAATTTTGTACAAACCATGCCATTTTGAATGTTTTGCATCACAGAAAATAATTTTCTACATTTCCACTGGAAGTAGATGTGAACATGTGTCAAATGTCGGAGTTTTAGAATCATGATCATATACTTTTCAAATAGTTGACCGAAAAATGTCATATTTATTTCAATAAAATAATATATCAAAACAACTTTATGCAGCTGTACAAGTAACATCTCTTTAGATGAAATTGCAAATGATTTAAGGTTTTCATATACGTACCTGAAATGCAACTGAAATGCAGGTTTGACCCTTGATTAAGCAAAAATTATGAGTTCTGAGCCCGTTTTCATTACATAATAAAAACGATATTTCATGAATCCAAGCTTATCCATCCTTGTAGGTTGTTTAAAAGATTTGCTCAGATTTCACTTTTCACATGCAAGAAGAAACCTTTTGCTCAAAGAGAAGAGTTTTTAGTCTTTTGGGGCAACATTTTGTTGAAAAGGCTTTGAGTTTGATATTTTTATTTAAGAACAAATTTAACATTTTTGTATATTTCAAATATGGTGCTGATCCTTAAATTCTAACAAAATTAAGCTATCAATAAAATGAAATAATATGTTATTATAAAGTATGCAAATAAAATTAATTTTAACAGTAATTTAAAAAATGCCATGTCATGCTCTGATTTCCTTGTCTTCTCCGCTTCACTGATCATTTTTCTTCTCCTCTGTCATCTTCTTTCCATTCTGTCTATCTAACTTCCAGTACAGGAATCAGCTAAAGGTTGAAGCTTAAAATAAGAACTTGGAACTGTCTGTTTTAGTTTTACTGTTTTCTTTTGCTTTTTACTTACTTATTTACAGGTTCACTTTGCTGTAAATGTAAGATCACAGCTGGTTTAAAGAACGTCTTATTCTGTACAGTTTCTTGAAGAAGCAAACAAATGTTATCTTTTACATTTACTGAGGTTCTTTCATCAAACCCTTTAACCATAAAGACATAGAGTCAAGTGTTTTAAATGGGTTGCATCATTCCTCCGTTCTGGGTCATAAAACAGGGGCAGAAATATTCATTTTTTCATACGTTAAATACTGCTGTGTATGTAACATAAACGTTTAGCTTGAAGTATAACAGGAAATCTGCTTAGAGGCTAAGATACACCCTTTGCAAACATGAATACCATATTCATTTTGAGCTTTCAATTATTTACTTGAACGATTCTTTTTCTCATAATGGAACAATCATACAACACAAAACTTCAATCTTGTTTTTTTCCAAATTGAGTGCAGGGCGCAGTGGTGGCGCCGGGGTTAAAGCAAACCCTTCTGTAGAGGCCTCAGTCCTCAACACCGCGTCACGCGGCCGAGTCTTTGCTGCATGTCTTCCCCCTCGCTTTCCTGTCATTTACTGTTAAATAAAGATGACCAGAGCCAAAAAAATCCTTTAAAAGATTTTATTCCTTATATGCAAATCCAAGCAGCCTTCACTATTATTTGGGCTGTGTTTAAAATGTGTAAACTTTGTTTTAAGACAGAGTTTAATGGTGGTCATAGAAATTGTGTGTTTTCTCTGCAGCCTTTCAATTTATTCAAATGTTAGTGGAAGTTTTGTGTATTTACTCGAGTCTTTGCATAATCAAGACTGTGAGTAGATTAGAAAAGACACACAACAAATTCAAACATAAGCAATGTTCTTAGTTGTATAATTTGTTCGTACATAACTCCATTTTTCCACAGGACACAGGAACCCTGGAGAAGTCCAGCTTCCCCACAAGCACATTCACACAGTTCTGCATCCTCTTCAAAAGAACCTTCATCACAATATGCAGGGACACGGTAAAATGATCATTTCCACATTCACTCCTGGACATTTTTAATAACATTATAAGCTGTTATATATAATATATTTTGCCTAAAAAACCCTTTACATGTAGTCTGCTGTATTATTTTGTTTTGAAGGTGCTGACCCACCTCAGAGTGATGTCCCATCTGTGTATTGGGGTGCTGATTGGCCTGCTTTATCTTAATATTGGAAATGATGCCAGCAAAGTCTTCAACAACACAGGCTTCCTCTTCTTCTCCATGCTGTTCCTCATGTTCGCTGCCCTGATGCCCACAGTGCTAACCTGTAAGACACTGATCCTCGTCGGAGACTGGAAACATTGATCTGGTGTGTGGGGTTTTTTCCGTGGTTTTGGAAAGATTTTTCTTAACTGAGCTGTTGTTCCACAGTTCCTCTGGAGATGTCTGTCTTTATGAGGGAGCATCTCAACTACTGGTACAGCCTTAAGGCGTACTTCCTGGCCAAAACCATGGCTGACATACCGTTCCAGGTAGGGTTTGATTCATTCTTTAGAAATGAGAGCGTATATTGTGCAATTTTTACTGAAAGCATGTCTCCTTCGTAGGTGATTTGTCCCATAATGTACTGTAGTATAGTGTATTGGATGACTGAACAGCCTGCAGAGGTGGGTCGCTATCTCCTCTTCATGGCCTTGTCAACATCCACAGCCCTGGTAGCCCAGTCCCTGGGACTGCTAATTGGTGCTGCATCCACATCCTTGCAGGTAGACAGTTGTACATGGGTACTGGTCATTTTGCGCCTTTATTGTTTCCTTCAATAAAGGAACAGACCTTGATGTTTTACAAAATTTGCTTCATTTCTTTGAATTTGATATTTTTCTTATACACCAACAAAACTGACTCTTTACAGCAACTTTGGATTGCAAGACACTTTTTATGTTTTTATATTTTTCATATTTTTGTATATTTCTTAATTTTGCTCTCTTTACTATGATGCTTTTGTAACAAAAGAGAACAAAAGATCAATTTTAAATTGGCATTGAAGGATAGTGAAAGGAGACAGTGTAAGTATAAACAATGAAAATAGTCATGTCAGAGTATAAATCCTTTTTTTTCTCCTCCAGATATTTAAATAAAATGTTATGTTTTCTAGGAGTGATAGTTTGTTTTAATTTCATGCTGTTGTTTTTGTTTGACAGGTAGCAACGTTTGTTGGTCCAGTTACAGCCATTCCCGTCCTCCTCTTTTCTGGATTTTTTGTCAATTTTGACACAATTCCTAAATACCTTCAGTGGAGTTCTTATGTCTCCTACGTCAGGTATTGTCTCTAGGATTTGCAAGCAATTTTCAGATTTCGATTTTCAAATGTGGCCCCTTTTTTTGCAGCCACTGACCAAACTGTTTGATTTCAGATATGGCTTTGAGGGGGTGATACTCTCCATCTATGGGATGAACCGGTCAGAACTTGAGTGTCCGGAAGTGATGTGTAAATTTCAAAAGCCAGAGGAGGTTCTGCAGCTGCTGGATGTAGAGGACGCAAAGCTTTATGTTGACTTTATGGTGCTGGGTGCGTTTTTCCTGATTCTTAGACTGGCCACCTACCTGGCTCTGCGCTACAGAGTCAAGTCAGAGCGTTAAGATGTCACAATGTTCTTACATATCCCAGCCGTGTGATGAAACATATTGTCCTCCTTTCTCTTACTTAACTTCACCTTCACATAGACTGAAAGACAAATCCGAGCCTCAGAAAACTGCTGCACCATTATCCAAACACATGGATGGAAGATGCTTGGACTGGGAAACGTTTCTCCACGTCCTAAGCCTGTCACAAGATGGAGGTCTTTCTCAGCTCACCTTAACCCTCCCCTAAAATGTCCAGACGGCACAAATGCCCAATAAATTAACCTGAAGCATGTTTCAGTAATGCAAGAAAGTTGAATTTTTATATTTTGCCATCAAGAAAATTGTGATATGACTAAGAAGCTAATAAAGAAACATGCTAACCCCAGTGGAATAGGAAGATCCAGTGACTTGTACTAGTTCAGTGCCTGAAAGGTAACTCGGTCCACGTCATAATCATTCTGACTGGCATCCAATCAGTCAAGTTGATGAAAGAGTTCAGAATAGGTTCCCTCTTATTCCTGTCAGACGATTGGAAAACTTTCCACGGGAGGAAACATACTTATACTTCTCTTTTGGGACAATCTTTTCAGATACCTGTACCTGGACACTTAACATGCAGACTTCCGACTGCCATTGGATGACTTACATTTGCTTTCAAGTGTAGATCATTTTCACAGGCCTTCTGCCCCACCACGGGTGGTGGTGGAGCACTAAAGCCTGGACGAACTGTTTGCAAAATGCGTGTCTTATGTAACAAACTGATATTCATCCTGCAACCAGCCCTAAGAGTCCCTACTTGTTCCTTAATGTTTGCTTTTACCGTGACAAAGGAAGCATTGACCGAGCTGGGAGTAAGGGAGTTTCCAACCTGATTCGAGGAGCTGAGTGATTGATGCTGCAGACAAAGTGCAATAGTTTAAACTATGGGTAAAGACATGATATTTGTCCATCAGGTCGCATAGTTTTGACACTAATCTTCTTTAAAATGCTCGTTTCCACTTGTTGTATGCCTCTCTTCCCCTATCTTTAAAAAGAAAATAACATCCTGTCTTCTTTCTTTCTGCTTTGCTGATAAATGAAAAAAAAAATGTGTTGTTCAAAAGCAATGCTAGATACTTGAAATGCTGGCTGGGCGTTTTTTTGTGCCTCTGAACTAGAATGATTTGCGTTTACTCTGCTTCTTGTTGGAACATATGTCTTATGTCTGTGTACCTACGGTGTGGAGGTCGTCACACACAAATATACACATGCACACAGAAACACCAACGTACAGACACCTACAAACACACTTACCTTGTTTAAAAGAGCCTCTCCTCGTCACACGGCAATGCAAATATTTTCCAATAAACTTGCTATGAAATATTTCTTACTTAAACTATGCTACTTAGTAATCCTTATAATGATGCATAACATGATGTGAGCATATAATCAGTGATTGTACAGTGAATATATGTCATGCTGTAAACAAATGTACATTAGCACTTTTAAGTATATGTTTATTCTTTTTTTAATTCATTTGTACTTTATGTTAATGTATCGGAGGAAAGCGCTGCTTGAAAGTACGAGGACTGTTGCACAAGTCTAGGAATGAACTTTCTAAAGCAGCTTCTTGGGTTTCTATGGCGATTTAATTTCTTCTCCCAACGTGTTTGGTTGGTGAGGAGATTTAAATCTTCTGCTTGCTGCTGAAAAGATGTGGAATATCTTTAATTAAATGTGCACTTGTTCAGAAATCAGACAATTTAAGGTATCAGGAGTGGCAAGGGAAAATATAAATGTTTGAAATATGTCAGAATGAGACATGGGCATTGAGCTGTCAAACAAACGTACCATGCAGGGATGTCCCGATCAGGCCTTTTGGTCTCCAATACCGATCAGGTTATTTAAGAGTAGGCAGTTGCAGACACCAAACCCCAGACAAATGCTTCAATAAAATCAACGTTATGAATACTTGTGAAAATCGGTAGCTTTAAAAAATAGCAAAACTTAATTTTCTGGAAATTTTCTGTTGAGGTTTTTTTCTTCACCTCAACATATTTGCCCAACAAGTTTCTTCATTGCAATTAAATACACTCACTTCTTGCTCCTGCTGATAAAGTTTCCATGTAGAGCAGTTAGCTAGATGCTAAATTATTTTGATAGACACTGAAATATGTTATATTGACTCAACATATTTCATTTAATACTGAGCAGACAACACTTAATGAGAACACTGTTTTTCTGCTTCATGAATTTCTTAGCCGGAATCTGCAGTTTCCTTGACAGTCGTTTCTGTAGGACAGCCTTTTAATGTGAATATCTGACTTACAGATATTTTAAAAGTATTTAATAAACTTAGATCAAGTTCCTGCTGACAATGTTTCCGTGTGTTGCAATTTGTTGAAAAGCTTGGGTAATCTTAGCATTTTTGTTTTGATTCCGCCTGTTGATAGGTTAATAACAAATTTCAGTGTGGTTTTAGTTCATTTTTATGTGATCAAAACTTGCAGAAAAATTATGTTTCTAGAGACACATCTATCTTAAAACAGATTACAACAAATTATGTCTTGATGCTGCTGGCATTATTTAGTGTAAAAAAAAAAAAAAACTTACAAAAATGACTAAGCTAAAGCTAGCGTGTTTCCTCATTGTTTTGACATGACTACTTGATATTTTGGTTCCAGGTAATTGCATGCAGGCAAAGTTGTCCCCGTGAGTTATAAACTTATTGTTTTACTTTCATAAGATCACTGTTATTAATATTTAGCTGCTCATCTATCTGAAGACAGCATACAGAGCAGGTCACATGACACAGACAGTTTGGAAACTGCAACAGCCTTTGACACCAAGTCATTATAAAGGGTCAAAAACAATGAGATTGGTTAGCCAGGGCCCAAACATTAAAAAATCCTGGGAAAACCAATATTTGGAACTGGATCGGGACATCCCTTGTATCAATATGTAGCTGAAGAGAAGGTCGTCATTATTAACAGGGAAGCAGCTGAATAAGAGAGAAGCGTGCAGCGGCAGGCTTGTTTCTGACAGCAATAGTTAACATTGTGATGTTTTTAGAGTAATACCTCCCCCTGCTGTTGCTTTAGACACTTTTGAAGTCTTATCTTCCTGTCGGTTTCATTATGTGCAATAATCATCCAAAGGTATTTTGAACTTTATGAAAAGGGAACTGTGACACTTCTGTAAGAAGCATGATGTGTTTTCTTGTTTCTTCTATTTTGTTTTCCCTCTTTCATTTATTGTTAAGTCTTTGATGGGAGGTGGTTGACTTGAAGCAGATGGTTGCTGCCTGAAAAACCGTGGCATTTTAAACATTTTCAGTACACATCAAAATCTGTCTGATTCGCAAGAGGCTAGCATGAAAAAGGCGTCAATAATTAGCAAGTATTTTAAATGGCTTTAGAAAATTTTTATTCTGCTATTTCAACAAAGAAAAACTTTCTAATTTGTGTGCACCAAAGTTTGGAAATTGGAGTCTCCTCCAAATGGCAAGTGGCTTGATGAATGTCCTCGCTAAATATGGTTTCAAAATAGCAGATGCTAAATAATTTCATTGAACTTGTGCTTTGATGATGCAGCAAACTATATCTTTTTTTCCCTTTCACTTTCATTTTGAGACTCCGTTAAGCATTTCATACATTTTTATTAAGAAGCCACACAATGCACTCCTTCATGCATGGAAACAATATTCAGGCTATTCTTACAAAGAGCTTTGCAAAGCAAGTGACACAACTGAGCTTTATTTTCCCACTCGTTTTAATTTTTTTTTTCCCTCTGATATAATTTATTATCTGCAGCTTAGTCTATCATTTGTCAACAATCGCAAGTCCTGTATACTGAATGCTGTTCCAAGGATTATAATAAAGAATTTATAACCTTTGCCTGTGCTCTTTTTGGGTGATTTGCAACAAAAGTGATTGTTCACTTAATGCCATGTGTCCCTAACAATAAATTGCTTGGCCTCGTCTTTTGAAGTGACTTTGCTCACCGTTCATGTAGTCATACTGAAGAGGAAGAATAGACTGGTGTTTGTTCAGCTGCAGAATAGCTTCATTGTGTAGGTTAATATGTAATCATTAAACTTAAATAATGTAGTGGTAAGAGAGAGACTCAAGTGCTTCAACAAATGGATACAATGGGGATATCAAGAGAAGGAAAGCAGCTCAGTCATAATTATTGTCTCTGGGAAATTCTGAAAGATGAAGTAAAGAAAAGCTTCTTAAAGAAAATCTGCATTTTCTGCACTCAGAGCAGAGCAACGCAATTACTTTTTAGCTGTTGCTTTCTTTGTGTGTATTTCTTTTTGCAAATTTTCTTCTTTTTTTTTTAACTTTATATTCAAAGCAAGTTTGCTAGCTCCTCCTTCTGCTCCCTTTTCCCCAACCAATCCAAAGACAGGATAAAATAACTTACAGTCTCACACAAAGAATAGAAAATAGTACCCCATCCTTAACCACTTAGTTGAGGGTTTTTAATTCCCCTGTGACTAATATTAAATGAAAAAAATCATAATTAAAAAACACGTTTAGACGCAATTTTATTTTTCTTCCAATTGATTTTAATTTTCACCACTTTGTGATATTACAGCCAGAAATTTAAACGTATTTTATTAGAATTTTGCAAAGTAACTAATAATTAAATAATTATAAAGTCAGACCTAATACATTGTTACAGGAATATTTTTACAAATTAACTTTTGAGAAGTGGGGCATGTATAGTATCCAACCCCCTTTACTTCCTCCATACCCGTAAAAAATAATTGGAAATAGCTGGATGCAGAAGGGACCTAAGTAAATTGAGTTCACCAAAATAAACTTGAATCTCAGCATAAATGAAGCTGTTACATGAAGACTTCCAAGGTTTGTTTGAGAAGGTTGGTATACACAACCTCATAAAACCAAGGAACACAGCAGTCAGGTAAGGAAGAATGTTGTTTAAGGCATTCTCCCTTAACATTGTGCAAAATGTGTTTTGCACAATTTTCAAAGCTTGGACATTGTGCAAAACACATTTTATTTTAGAGTTTTGGTGAGATGAGATTAAAAATTGACTTTATGGATCAGGGCAAAACCTATTTATGGTAGGTATCTTACATTACA